TCGTGCGCAGGGTCCAGGATGTCGGTGTGGACGGCGGGCGGCGAAGCGTCTGCCGGTGCGGGGTCGGCAGGTACACATTTATGGGTAGTTCCTGAAGCAGCAATGCCGCCAACACCTTGGCAAATGACACATCCGAGATTATGCACATTGTGTCGACTCCACATGCGATTGAATTTCATTGCTGTCAAAGAATAAAGATCGCATCTCAACCACCAAGGAACGCAGCACAATGGCCTCGTCTCAATCTTAAGTGTCAGTCATGTAATGTAGGATTCAATTTAGGGTTATATAAGGTTATGCTGGCACGGCGGCTACCATGTTGGAGTGGCCGGATGGTTGCATCGGGTCCATATGGGATAGCTCAGTCCTGCATGGTGCACCTACCTTACAACTAGGCTCAATATCAGATCGTCCGCATAAAGGCTACACGCGTACATGGGTGGGTATTACGCGGATAATACTTCATACGTGGGTATATAAAAACTAGTACCGTGCTCATAATAATCAGCACTATAGCCAAAGTGCATGAGGCGCGTTCGCAGTTGCACTGAGCCCATCATTTCATGGCATGCTGCATGCGGCACTGTGATGGTTTAGAAGCTGTATAACTTCTGCCAGACATGCTCAACCACCCCCAGAACTCATGGTGACAGCGAGCCTGGCAGCATTCAACGGAAATGCACGTGCAATTGATGCAAGCGACATGTGCCGCCCTGGCAGAGACTCTCTGAGAACATTGCAAAAACAAAATCTGCTGTGAGCTGGGGAGTCCGGTCAGGCTTGAAACCACTGCATGCACTTAAATTCAAGATAGCTCATATGATAGGCAAATATAGCGCAGTTGAATCACAGCCGCCTTATCTGGCCCTCAGAATATGAGTATATTGAAGCAACACATCCACCTTTCTTCACCTTAGCAGCACGGAGAACCCATGTGGACCATGCCTTGTGCTCAGTTCCAACAACAACATTCTTTGCCTGCTTCCGAAAAGGGGAAACCCAACCCGATCAAGGGCGCCCCGCCTACTTCTTCTTGCCAGCCTTGCCAGCCTTTCTACGGATGACCTCGCCCTGGAACTTGATACCCTTGCCCTTGTACGGCTCTGGCGGCCTCCACCGCCGAACGGACGCCGCAAACTGTCCGACCAACTCCTTGTCGCGCCCGGAGATGTTCATCCTCGTGTTGCCCTCTACCTTAACGTTGATACCCTCGGGGATCTCCATGACAACCGGGTGGCTGAAACCCAGGTTCATGGTTAGCGTCTGACCCGCCACGGAGGCACGGTAACCAACACCAATCAGCTCTAGGTCCTTCTTGAAGCCGGTGGAGACGCCGTTGATCATGTTGGCCGTGAGGGTCCTGCGATTACGGGTCAGGAAACGGTAAGAGGTGCTCGAAAGAGTGCTCCGGCAGCGCAAGTATTCCCTACGAGAGGATCTTCAGAGGATGACGAAGAAGCCCACAAGGCTGCCAGTCATGAGAAGTGGTCAGAAGAACTTTCCCGCAGAGATCTTTGCCTCAGTCTCACGAAAAGTATCAGCAAGAGGAGGTCATGGCAAAAACCTTTCAGCTCATACATTCCAACCAATTTTCAGAGAGCTGATTTGAACGTAGAGTAAGAGCAGGGCAACCGACGCGGGACGTTTCTAATCAAGCAAATTGGCAACCTTTAATTGCACATCCAAAAACGTCCCTGGTTGCGCACCTTCACGATTACAAGCGATGAACAGCTATAGGCTTCATCAAAGCGCTTTTCCCAAAAGCAAACCAACCCGCTCTGCCCTCACCTGAAGAGGCCATGCATCTGCCGCGACCGCCTCGTCTCATCTGTCCTGAACACCGACACCGACTCCCCTTCCTTCTCCAGCCTCACTTCACGGGGGTACTCCCGTGTGAGCAGCCCCAAGGGGCCCTTCGCCTCCAGGCTCTTGTCCTTCAGAGTGACGGTGACTCCCTTCGGGATGGGGATCGGCGCCTTGCCGATACGAGATTCTTTGCACACAATGGCAGGGGTAGGGAGCACCGCGCGCTGGCTGGTGGAGCAGACGGGGGGAAGATGGTGCGCTCCGGAGAGGAAAGTGTTTCTGTAGCAGACAGCGAGGAATAATATGTTCAGGTTCTCAGCTTACTATGCAGAAGGATAGGTTGGGGGAAGGGCCGTGTGGGAGTGCAAACGAGCCAGGGTCTCTCTCACCAAGGAACTACTCTTCTAATGAGCAGTAAAGAAGGTACTTGTGTCGTGGAAAGAGCGGTCCAATAGCTCCAACATTCAATTGATGAGCAGAGTGCGTAATCTTGCCGAAAGTGGTGGTGTAACAATAGCAGGTTCTTTCCGCAATACCAATTCCAATCCGTCCAAAACTACCACGTTCAAAAGCATACGGGCATTACAAAGCGGAGTCGTTGCAAGATTGTGACATCTGTAGAGAGCTACCTTGTTGACATCGTCTCTACGAAACGTTCCAGCCCACATTGCTGCTCTGCTAGCTGCCCCGTTGTGCCCAAGCAGGACTTAAGGTCGGACAATTCTGAAATGGAACTCTTATCCAAGTACGCACACTGAATGTAGCACCAGTGTCTCCAACAGTGACTCGTGAAAAGGAAGTCGTGGCTGAGCTGAAGTTGCATTGCAAACCAAGGGGGTAGCAGCTGATCCATCATCGGTGTCACATCAGCCGCAATGCAGTGCCTGAGGGGCATGCGTACAGCAACTCCTGCTTGCGCGCCCTTGCTAATCTCACAGCAATACTCACCATAGCGGACCGAAAGACTACAGGGCACTGACAGCAAATCTAACAGCACTATGACCACTTTGCGTCAAACCCCTAAAATGCAAATTTGACAGTACGCCAGAGGGCCTCCATAAATAACAACTGACCTGGATGCCTGGAAGGATCCGCAACCCTGCAAGAAACAGGCAAGCGGGCTCGGTTATGCTGCTCGCTGACCTGTGACTTCTATGGCTACTTTAGACCGTTACCAAGCGAACCCCAGACCATTGCAAAGGGTAAACAGCAAAATGCAGGTACATCATTAAAAGATTTTTTGCTCACACAATGTGTAGCATGGGCCTAACCCTACCAAACCCAGCGATAAGTGCATTACAGCTCGAATGTTTGATGACGAAGATACCAGCAAATGGGCGACACATAGGCGGGCAAACGAGGGAACAGCGTCAACTGGACCTTCCCAATGCAGGAACACAGACGTGCAACTAGTCCCTACTGATAGGGTCCTCGTAGAGACAATGCGAAATGCACTTGGTGAGTGCAACATTGCTGAAAAGTTGTTCGCTGTGCGCACCTTGTCTAAAGCAGGAGTCCAGGACAAGGCCCCTGCACACGACCCTACAGCAGCCATCGCCGCCATGATGGCCCCTTTCTGCGCGTCCCCGCTCTTCTATCACATACACAGCGTCCGATATTCGGGCCCCTCTCGCCCAATACTAAACAGACACCCACTCAGGGCAGAAGTAAACTGGCCCAGTGCGGGGTACAGCTTCGAGAACCTGACCTTTCCCTTTGTTTATCTGTCCCCCACAGGCTCCGTCCACCCTGCTCCAAACAAACACACACGAGCCTGCTCCAAAAGAAGTATTCCTGAGCTGTTCAAAAGCTCAAGCAGAGCCTAAGGCTTCCAAGTTTCAAGCGCCGCCAAACTTCCAAGTCTGCCCTATTAGAATCTGACTTATCGGACGTATGGCATTGGAAACTGCTTGCGTATGATCTTCTGCTCTGGTAATATACTGCGCTTATAACGTTGTCCAATGTCGACTCTCGAGCTCTCCCTTCGAACTCGGTAAGACAAGATATATTCAGATCACGCTTCACGGCTCGAGTCGCGGCCGGCGGCGGCCTCCTTATGATCTTTTTGAGCCTGCATATCCGCATGTTTCAAGCGCGTACACCGCCTTGATAGATGCCAATTTCTTAGGTTCCAAAATCCACGAATTCAAGCCACTGGCAAATTTTGAAAGGAGGTTTGCTACCAAGAAATCGAACCTCCTCCAGAACCTGCTCCAGAAATATTTAAGCGTTGCTTTCCCAGGACCATCTGCCCTCCCACCTGTTGACAGCATTGCTGCTTTTGAGGTGTTTCAATGCTGCACCTGGCACCACCACCCCGTAATGCTTTTGAAGGTTCCTGAGTTCAATTGAGATCAGGCTTGAAACTTGCTGAATTCTTCTGTGGCGCCCTGCAATTTGTAAAGTCTTCAAGTGATAAGTGGAGTGGTAAGTGCATAAAGGCACTAGATTCAACTCATCAAACTCAGGCAGGTGCGCTGATCGCTGGGGCGGTCAGATTCTCGAGACGATTGTACGCGGACGGAGGATGGGGTCCATAGCAAGGAGAGAGCTGGTCAATCTGGCCGCTCTGGCATCCAGGCTTTTGCAGGCTGGTAGACGTTCTGGCGCTGTCGAGGGGCCTGCAAGCTCAGCTGTAGGTGCTGGGATGCACGGAAGGCTGCTGCATTCCAGTGGTGCAGCATGTGCGCAGAGTGCGGCGGCGCCAGCCTCCGCTACAGATGACAGGTGCGTTGACGGGAGGTTCTCCCATTGATTTTTCAGCCCTGGTCATACGATTCGTAAGTATGTTTATGCAGTAAGATTGAGCAACAGGAGGAACAGCATTTTCTAGCCGATGTCAGCAATATCCACTTCTCAAAAACATTGTAGATTGCAGCCTTTTTGCCACGTTTTGCTATCAGAGTGCCGTACCTTCGTGCCGCTGATGCTGGTAGGCGCTCCACAAAGTAAGCACACAGTTTTGAAGAGCGTCTTTCCAAAGATCAAGTGCAAGGGTAACGTCGCACCACTGCTTTTGCATTCACAGAGGATGAGTGCGAAAACTTCACTGTGTTGCAGAACTAATGGAGACTGCTTTCATTCAGCGCTTATGCCTAGGCCAAATGCGCTGGCTTTGACAAGCTTCTGAGTAACAGGAACGAGTGCTGGAGTACAGGAAGTGTCCTCTTTTGTTGGATACCAGTCCTAGTTCTGGGACTAAACGTCCAGGCCAAATGAGTAATTGTAAGCCGAGAATTCCTCAAAGAGATTAACAGCCAGTTCTGCTAGATACTTGCTCAGGCCCATCTGCGTCATCGTTCTTGCAGGCCGATCGGCAAAGAGGGTGCACTCAGTCTGGAAGATTGCTGCTTCAAAGAGATGGAACTTGTGGGGGTCGGTTACAGAGCATCGGTGAATGAACGAGATCTGGTGATGAACCTGGGTTACAGTCATCCAGTTATTTTAAAAATTCCAGAGGGTTTGACAGTCAAAGTAGAGAGAAATGTTAGGGTAACAATAGCGGGTTATGACCGAGAACTGATAGGGCGTTTCTGTGCAAACATACGGGACCAACGACGTCCAGAGCCATACAAGGGCAAGGGTATCCGGTACTCAGATGAGATTATCACCAAAAAGGTTGGGAAGAAGAAGTAGACAATTCACTGCATCCCCACTGGATCTGATACAGGCGTGTGTTTGTTGTTTCTCCTATTGACCTGTGGCAAGTGTGAGACACTGAGATCTCAACTTCAGACAATTCTAATCGGACCCTTTGAGCAATTGTATTTGCCATGCAGCTCGATGTCTGCTTGAACTTGAAGCGGACTCTGATCGTTCAATGATCAATTACGAGATTTGGAACGTACGGAAAAAAAACTGCAGATCATTCCCCCCAAAAGCTTGTAGGTTGTGAACTTGACATGACCAATGCGGCTTCTACTTCTTGCACAGTGTGAGGTCTACATAAGGATCGTGTGCAATGTGGCAAAGATCATTGCAAGAAATCATACGAGTCGGATGAAATTTCGCTTTCGTTGAGTCAAAAGTGAGTCTTAGGCAGATCATGTGACAAAATGATCGGGGGCCACGACATGGCCGTAAACATTCGCATCGCCATCACGCCACATGCATTCGAGGCTGCATGCGCCACTGGCATTGTATATGACGAACTAAGTTCGGAACTTACAGCTTTCTGAAGCAATGATACGTCACGAGACATGCATCGATCGATCATTGCATGAATGTAACCGGCCACAGCCTAGAACATGGATCAGACCACGCACTGACAGAGTTCTTCGTTGAAAGTCTTTATGTACCATTGCGGACGGCACAGTAGCTACACGACTAGACAGCTTCTGACTGGTCACGAAGTCCGCTGGTGCCGCTGCTGATAAGCAAGCATGCAAGCGCCCGCTGCCTTCTTCCACAGAATTCTGGTTGTGACGTCAGCCTACGTGAGCTGCTTACCTTGTTCAGACACTCATATAAGCGTGCTTAGATTATAAAGGAGAGGCTTGTACCTGAGCCGCGTTCACACTGCCTGCTTTGCAGGTAGACCTGATGAATCTTGGATCATTTATAGTGGCCGGGACATCTTGTCGACAAAGATTTATGTACAGAGTTTCCGATTGTGACCAGGCTACGTCAAATCTACTCTATCACGTGGTCAAGATCCCTGCCCGCAAGCACGCTGGAAATCCCCTTGGGCATCTCGCCCTTGATCATCCGCTTGACTGGACATCGGTCTGCAAGATAGAAATACGCCGTGATTTGGTGAAAGAATCCCTCTCCCCATGAAGTTTGAACCCGACTTTCATTTCTCTGGCGCTGAAACGTGTTGACTTTCGTCTCGTGGGTCATGGAACGAGGTCGTCAACATTAATAGCCGTTCAGATAGCGAAAATCACCGAAAGTTCTGTCGTTGTCAACTTTACAGCAACTTTGCGAAACGTACCTGATCTAAGCGTGGCGGTGACATGACGTCAGATAACAGATGGATTCCCCCCCGGGTACGGCTTGGCGCCAGAAGGAAGAAGAATAACAACGGGGCCTTCCGAAACTATGACGTCGCCCAGCGGCTTACGCTCCGTTTTCGGATGAACGGAGAAATCGAACAAGAAGTTGGACCAACCGCTGACTGAAGTGGTGCGAGTATACTGGAACCTTCCTTTTTTGCAAGCTCCCTCGCGGAAATGAGTGCGAGAACGAATCAATTTGCTGGCCGGTGTACGCCTCAAGTAAGACTTTTGAATGGAAGGAGAAGGCTTCCACGGTCTGCTGCTGAGATTTGTGCCCAGAAGAACAACGATCTGTAGATGCAGTGCGCCGAACAACGTGACAAGCGAAACGCTTTCGCTGCCGAGTGATCTCCCTCTCTTTCCAACCGCACCGCTTCCCTTTACGTCTTCCGCAAACCTTGACTGTGCTTCCGTGCTTGCAAGTGCAACCCCGATGGAATGATAGGGATCGTAGCGCGTTCAGTTGTCATCTGGTCACAACTTTCAGTGCAAGGGAATCTGGAATCCGACCCAATTTTCAAAGTTGCCACCGATTACTGTCAGCCGACGTCATCGCTTGGGAGCGACCATCTGCCCGTTCGCTGACTCTGGTCGTTACCTCGTTCAGTGGCGGGGGCGAACATCGGCGTTTGCGTTCCCCGGCCAATTTGAGCAGGGACTTGGAGATGCGATCGTGATGATCTACCGGCATAGGGCAGTACGGCTCAAAGAGGAAAGTGGAAGTGCGCCTGTATGCGCTCACCTCCAATCTCGTGCAGGCGCGCGCGCTGCGCGTACGTCAGCTGAGGCCCTGTCAGATGCACCGTCACCAGCAGCTCCTCAGGTACGTGGGCCCCTGCGAGCGGGAACAAGGCCTTTTTCAAAGTTGAGCGCTTCTATTCCGTTTCACTTTGCTTCTCAAGTCCGCTATGGCGGAGTTCTAAAGTCCTGGTGGCTCAAGCCTTTCAGAAACGAGTTGCACTTCAAGCTGAGAGCCTTCATTGGCAGGTGGTATTATTTTTATAATTATTAGTAATATTATTCTTATTACGAACGATCAATCAGGCCTTCAGATGTTGGAATTCAAACGAGAAAATGTCGGGTGAATCCGATTCGAAATAACGAGTAACGAATTGAGAGCCCGCCGAAGTGCGGAGAAAGCTTCGCGAACCCTTACAGATGTGAGTGAGAATGTGAGATCCTGAGGATGGAAAATCCGTTTACCGGATCAGGGGGGTTTGAACCTGGAATCATTGAGGCCTAAAGGCGATGTCAAAGTCCTATGCTCGTAGATGTTCGAGAAGCTGCTAGACTGCTTCAAGTGGGAAAGCTTGAGAATCGCCGTTAGGACGAAAGCGTACTACTGCTAGACCTTCCAGGACCGCGTACCCTTTCAAACGAACGAGCGAAGATCTGACGTCATGACCACTGTCATTTTGCGGCTCTGCCCGGAGAAAAACGTCCCCAAGCACCCAGTTCGAAGCAGAAAGTTGCCTTTTTTATGAAGAACCGACTCCGGAAGGCATACTATCCACCACTGCCGAAAGTTGCTGCATAGCTTACCTATTGGATCTCGAACCTCTTTGATCTGTGTGTATGTCTTCAAAGGGTTCAAGGAATATCGTCAGATGATTTCCAGAAGGGACGGACGTCTGAGTATCCACGTTGAGCTTCTTACCTGGCTTAGTGAACTCCCTGACCTCCACGTTCACCCGCTCGAGGGGCCACTTCTTTCTGTCTGCATACTGAGGACGAATAGGATTGAATGCCGCTTGTCCTTGGTACCAGGCAAGCAGGCAAAGTACCACAATTGGGACGTAGCGTAGCCACTGCCAAATCGGGTGAATCGACAAGACCGAAACTGCCCTGCGGCCTTTTTGACGACCCATACCAACTTGCTTCAGTGAGTCCCTTGGTCTGTGCATAAAAATCTCAAAGCAGGATGGAAACCAAGTCGATATTGAAGAAATGTCAACTTTCAAGAACCTGGTGTGGACGTCACATTAACGCGATATGTGTGTATCGAGGAGGATTGTACGAAGGTACTTCCTTGAAAAATTTCTTGCCGCACAATATCTGAACCGATTGTCAGCTCTAAGTATGGTCTTTGCCTCACCATTCGAATCGTCATTGATGTACAGAGTCCAAGGCCTGACATTAGCAGCTCCTTTGGCCTGCAAAAAAAGCCACGATTATGTCCCCTTGTAATCCAATGCATTTCTTTTTCGGCTAAAAGAATCCAGGAGTGCTGTCAGCTCAAAATACAGATCCAATCTTTCAATTTAGTATATTTCAAAAGAGCCACAGAAATCTTCGCCTCTTGTTCTGTGTCCCTCTCCGCTGCAGAGCTTTCTCGAGTACTGCCAATTGAATGTTTCTCTAACATCTAATCAGTGCGTTTTGACTTCCTTAGCAATCAACGACCTGCTTGCTGTCTGGATCAAACTCCGAACACCAAGATGGTCAACTTGTACATGAATGGTGGCAGTATTCTGAGCGTGCAAGGAAACAGGCTGGGGCGCACAAGAAAGGCGAAATTATGAACAATTGCTCACTCACGATGGACCTTCATCAGTCCCCCCAGACTCCGGCGCGAGGTCACCCTTCAGCACGTGCCTGCCACTTCTGATGGTGTGGTGATATCGCACATCATCCTGCGCACGGCTCAAGGAGAGAGAATATTCTATCGGTGGGTAAGAGGAATGGGGTATGGAATTGGCTCACACTACTTTCACTTTCTTCGGCGTTCAACAGTGACCAGCCACAAAGGAAGGTCACTTTCAAGATGGCTGACTGTCAGACTAAAAGGAGTGCAGTCTAGTGTGAGCTCAAGCATACAATTGGAAGCAGGCAACTCACTGGAGGCGTTCAGGAGGACAAATCAACAAACTTCTTTCACCAGCGTAGAATATACTGCCACGTTGTTAGATGAAACACAATGTGGCCCATCTCAAAAAAGATTGCCTGCGGCAACTACTGCTGGTAGAAGACGCCTAACTCACCGGGTCTTCCTCAACCGTGACATGCTCTGGGCTGCCCGCACTCATGCACCGTACAGAGCTCATTTGCCACCAGGGGGCCAATGACGCAAGGCCGTTGCGAGGAGCTTTATCAATTAATTTGCCCCTAGTGGCATTTCCCCAATGCGAGAATGGCCCCAGCGCCCTTGAGTGGTGCATTCTTATAGGTTGGTTGAGAGCGATTGCCGCAGTGAATCCGGTGACATCATTTAAGGCAACGCCAGCTGGTTCGCGGGGCAATCGGTGGAGAAGGCGGAGGGGGGGATGTGCACGAAAGAGTGCCCGTAGCGAGAGAGCTCGCGACATGGTGGCTGACACTCACAGAGCCACAATGCTGGCTGGAGAAATGCAGTGCATAAGTTCCACGAGCGGGAGAACTAGGCGCTAGGGCAGCGCGCGCTGAGTTGGCATTGATTGAAAGCACGGCAGCTGAACGTGAATGCGAAGGTGCTGGTTCTGCGAGCGTTCTGCACCGGTCAATTATCTGGCTGGAGAAGTGGATGATGCACACACTCCCAAAATGTTGGCTGTTTAATTGCAATGCAGCAGACCTGATGAAAAGTAGGACACGAACTGGTGGACATGACCATGAACGAGATGCAGCGGCGGGCTCGCAGCTAGATGCTCAGGAAACGACCAATTGTGAATGCTGCACCTCCTGTTGCGGCATTGGCCCCGCATTGCAGCTACTAGCTAGGGAGGAGGTGCATCTCTGCCGCGATGCCATGAAACATTGAAAGAGGCATGCTGCCAGTGCACCCTTCGTCTGTGCAAACTTGGAAGTTGGAGTCGCGACTCGCGAAATCAGAAGAGAATGGGCATTGACCAAACTGCCCTGATTGGCCGAGAACGCGCGCGCAGGATCTAGAGAATCGGGTTTGCGCGCGCCTAGTACACGGTTGTCATTGGGTATCCTGAATCTGAGGATCTTTTACAGGTCCATGATTGGTCAAATTAGGCCACGTCGGAATATAAAATCCAATGCAGCAAATCACGAACTCCATAAACTCCACGTCAAACGCACTTTATTGTGCGACGCCGGCCCCGCATTGGGTGAACAATCCAGCGCAGATCGCGAGTTGTTGGTTCTAGACGAACGCTGCTTTGGTGCGATAACTTCGACCAAACTACGGAAAATACAAGCCGACCGGGACTCTTTTCCTGGTTAACCCTTTGTGGTAATCTTTAGTTTAACAATTTTACCGGTACATCCTTTCCGGGCTTACTTCGATTTTGGCGTTGGGGGCCGGGGCGGAATTAGGTCACACCAAAAGCCTCATTGTCGGGAATCTGAATCTTCGGAGAAGGAAAATCTCGAGGTGGATGAGGCTGAAACTTTCAAAGCTTCCGTTGGTTGAACAGCCTGAGGCAGCCATTACCAGCCAGCCAAAGAAAGTGAAGCCTGTGGAGGAAGAGGGATTGTACGACGTGCTTCTCGAGCAGCATTATAGCTGGGGGAAAGCAGGGGGCAATTGTGAGCTCAGCTGTACTTTGCGTGAGGTCAGCGAGCGGGGGGCAAGATGCAGGCTGTGGCGGGCACTTTGGGTGGTGCAGCTTGCCCACTCGCTGCTTGCAAACCCTCACAAGGCAGGGCGGCGCAGACAGGTGAGACAGCACTACATTTGGGTTCGCTTATGTTATCTTTTCATGACCAGATTGTGGCTTGTGAACTGCCTTCCCCGGCACAGGTGTATGTTTGCTGCAATCCTTTGAATTGCTGTTGAGTTGACTGATAAGGAAGCTAGCCTTCAGAGCATTCAGAGCAAGGGCATCATGATGTTGGAAGTAAAAGTCGTAAAAATATAATGTTTGCCACCTTTCATGATAATTTGAGCAAGGGTTGCTGAAAATTTGAAGCTCCCTGCAGGTTTGTCTCGCAATGTAGGGTTGGTTGGGCAGGCTTTCCAGGGCCTGCGGAAGGCGAACGCCATTGATGGCAGAAATGTAAGTGTGGTCAGTAGGATATTCTGCAAATAGAATACAGCCTGCTCCTTTGATGTCCCTTGTTACGTCTGATGAGTTGTCCTTCTTGCCAGTGCATCCCTCCCAAAAGTATAAAAGGTCCAGAGTGCAAGATGATGAAGTCCCATTCTGGGAGATCTTTCTTTAACAATTTGCAACGGGTCTTGTCAGTCCTGGAGTTCTAATGAGTCCTTCTCAAATATGCAGGCTTCAGTCAATGGGGCCGCACCACTCGCAGCACTTCCTGTTGTCGGCAGAGGCAGGAAGGTGAGATCTCCAGCTGACTTCCAATCTCTGCTCGTCAGATGCTTGGAATGTGCTGCAAAGGGCAAGGGAGGAATCCAAGCTGTGTTTTCAGGATACTTGTGACTTGAAGGACACTCTGCACTTAGTGAGCATTCCTGAGATGCATTCAAGCTTGGAATGTGGCAACTTAATCTCCTGGTTGTCCTCCAAGCTGCTGCAGTAATTGTCGGGTAGAGGGTCAAAATTCAGGGATGTTGCAATTTAAGGCTCAGCAGTGATGCAGATTAAGGTCCAGCAGTGTCCTGAGAGTGTCCTCTCCAACTGCGCAGACGATCACCATGTTCGGTGGCAACGGCCTCTTCACCCAGACGCGCCCCGACGTCAGGCGTATCGTCCCTGAGCCCCAGGTCGGCAAACCGACGGTCAAAATTGTCTACGTCGTCCTGGAGGCCCAGTACCAGTCCTCCCTCTCAGCCGCAGTCAGGAACATCAATCGGAAGCGGGATGACCTGGCCGTCGAGGTGGTCGGGTACTTGGTAGAGGAGCTGCGGGACCCTGAGAACTACGAGTCCTTCAAGAAGGACCTCTCGGATGCCAACATCTTCATTGGCTCGCTCATCTTCATTGAGGAGCTTGCGGTGAAGATCAGGGAGGCGGTTGAGGTGGAGCGGGAGAGGCTGGATGCAGTCCTCGTGTTCCCGTCCATGCCCGAAGTGATGCGGCTGAACAAGCTGGGGACTTTCTCAATGTCGCAGCTGGGGCAGTCCAAGAGCGCCATCGCGCAGTTCATGCGCAAGAAGCGCAAGGAGTCAGGGTCCGGCTTTGAGGAGGGGATGCTCAAGCTCATCAGGACGCTGCCCAAGGTCCTCAAGTACCTGCCGTCTGACAAGGCGCAGGACGCGCGCAACTTCATGATGAGCCTGCAGTTCTGGCTCGGCGGCTCTCCTGAGAACCTCGAGAACTTCCTGGTCATGATCGCGGGAGCGTACGTGCCGGAGCTCAAGAGCAGCAAGCTCCAGTTCGAGGACCCCGTGGTGTTCCTGGACACCGGCATCTGGCACCCCCTCGCGCCGTGCATGTACGACGATGTCAAGGAGTACCTCAACTGGTACGATACGCGCAAGGACCTCAAGGGCCTGCGCGAGACAAAGCCGATCACCATCGGGCTCATCCTCCAGCGCAGCCATCTCGTGACAGGTGACGAGGGCCACTACTCCGCGATTGTGATGGAGCTCGAGGCGCGCGGTGCGCGCGTGATCCCCATCTTTGCAGGCGGGCTCGACTTCTCTGGCCCCGTCGACCGCTTCTACTACGACCCCATCACGCAGAAGCCGATGGTGGACTCAGTGGTGTCGCTCACCGGGTTTGCGCTTGTCGGGGGGCCTGCCAGCCAGGACCATCCCAAGGCGATTGAGTCGCTTACAAAGCTGGACGTCCCGTACATGGTTGCTCTCCCCCTGGTGTTTCAGACCACGGAGGAGTGGCTCGACAGCAGCTTGGGGCTGCACCCTGTCCAGGTGGCGCTCCAGGTGGCGCTGCCTGAGCTGGACGGCGGGCTTGAGCCAATTGTCTTCTCAGGGAGGGACAGCAGGACAGGTGAGGTCGGTAGTGGGGTTTGCTTGCATTATCGGGATTGTGTGGCAACATTGGCAGGAACAGGTTTGCTTGCATTGTTGCGGTTGCCTGACAAAGGCCTTGTCCTTGTAAACATCTGGAATGTGCGCGGAACTCTGTCAGCATTGCTTGGGATAGGAAGATGCTTACAGCACGAAACGGCTAGCTTCGTGCTTTGGATATCATGTAAGGAGAATGCTGGATCTGGAGGTCGCAAGCCTTCGGCAAACTCTGGATTGCCAATAGCACACACTTGGAGGCAGCTCTTTCAGAAAGGTTCACTCATCAAGTTGAACAGCTTAGCTCTTTTAGGAATTCTTGTAAGTGCTTTGAGCCTAGTCCCTGAAGAGGCGGGTTTGGTCTTCTTCTGCAGGCAAGTCTCACGCTCTGTATGACCGTGTGGAGTCCGTCTGCACTCGCGCCATCAAGTGGGGCAACCTGAAGAGGAAGGCCAAGGTAGGTTTACAGGCAGCGGTTGCTGACCTTGCTCAAAGCAGGGTGTCGGTTTCAATCTCACAGATTGTCCTGAGTGTCTCGTCAGGAGCAGAGGTTCCCGACGTCAGTCAATGCGCCTCAAGATTCAAGATTGGCCTTAGTCCAGTCTGTCTATCCTGTTGCGAAACTGTAAGTGCAACCTATAGAAGTCAGCATGTGTCTGAAGCAAGGGCAGCTGTGGAATCATCCACTCTCAGCATTGCTGCAAGCAGGGTTTCCAGAACATGCATGTCTCCAGCTCCAGGATAAGTTCTCCAGCGAAGTTATCTTGCTGTGCGCAGCGGGTGTGCTAGAAGCTTTTAGCAACTGCCTACTGAGCACCACGCCTGACAGTCAGGTTATCAACACCTAGGCAGCTTGCAGTTCTGTCCATTCCTTCCCAAAATTCACCACTCCACAAGTTCCTGAAGGCCGTTCCTCTGAAAGCCAGCCCTCCCAAGTACCCAGCAGACCAACTTCTCATTCTACCGTTCCTAGATTTTCTGCAGACCGACATGAAGATGGCCGTCACGCTATTCAGCTCCCCTCCCAAACAAGCTTCGCCCCTCTCGAGGAGGGTTTATACTGGTCCCTGGATTTTGTTCGCATCTCAGGCCCCTGAAACACTCCCCTTATGTGCAGGCTGACAAGAAGCTGGCTGTGACGGTGTTCAGCTTCCCCCCCGACAAGGGCAACGTTGGCACAGCCGCGTACCTCAACGTGTTTGGCTCCATCCACAGCGTGCTCAAGGAGCTCCAGGCAGATGGGTACAATGTTGGCGAGCTGCCAGAGAATCCGGAAGCGCTTATGGAGGAGATCCTGCATGACAGGGAGGCCAAGTACAACAGCCCCGACCTCAACATCGCGTACAAGTAAGGCTTCAGGAAGGGTTTCTTCTGGTATGCCGATTATGTGGGAGTATGACTTTGGTCAAGAAAAGCTGGCAGGGGAGTGCCTGGATCTTGTTCCGGGTTTGTAGTGGCTCTGTAAACCTTTGCAGGAAGGCAAAACGTCCTGAGGTAGCAGTGCAGCAAGTTGAAGCAGTTTGTTACAGGTTCTGGGGTTTTCAAAATGTGTTTCTGGTGGACTACAAACGGATGGTGGACTAGAGGAGTGCAGGCTTGTTTCCTCCATCCCACATCATTACAAAAGACCTTCGGTGTCGGGTTAGACAGGGGGACTGTTCTTGGCTGCCTGCCATTCTCTCCTGGTTCTCACCTTTTCTGAGCATGGTTGTGGTGGAAGGAGGACCAAGTAGTCAGCATATCATTAGAGTGAGTCCCGGATGTCAGGGAAGCCTTTGAGGGGACACTCTTCTGGTTCGCCGCCGAGCTTGAAAGATCTGCACCTCTAAGTATCAAGCAGTACGTCACCATGTCCCCTCTGTTGAGGACCAGCATTCCCCCTCTATTGTCGCTTCCAAAGCCGCTGTTTGCCAGAAATTTGAAGAGCTATCCCTCAAACCCTGTCCTTTGAGCTATCCCTCAAACCCTTTCCTTTTCCACCCTTCCCCCAAGGATGCCTGTGCGTGGATACCAGAAGCTGAACCCCTACGCTGAGGCCCATTTGCAGAGTCTCCCCCAAAGGTGCTGTTTGCTGGTGATCTGCAACGTACCCATTCTAAACCCCATCCTACTCCTCTCCCCCCCCTCAGGATGTCTGTGCGTGAGTACCAGAAGCTGACCCCCTACGCTGAGGCCCTGGAGGAGAACTGGGGCAAGCCCCCCGGCCACCTCAACACTGACGGACAGAACTTGCTGGTCTACGGCAAGGTCTTCGGGAACATCTTCATTGGTGTGCAGCCGACATTTGGATACGAGGGCGATCCGATGCGGCTGCTCTTCTCCAAGAGCGCTAGCCCCCATCACGGGTTTGCGGCGTACTACACATACCTGGAGAAGATCTTCGACGCCGATGCGGTGCTGCATTTCGGCACGCATGGGTCCCTGGAGTTCATGCCTGGCAAGCAGGTGGGTGGGCAGTGGCAGTGATTAACCCGGCTTTGCTTTGCTTTTTGGGGATCAACTGGAATCGATGGTTTGGGTTTGGTGTGGCTCACGTTTTGGGCTAGGTTTCACTTAAAAGGTCTGCAAAGCACCATCGTAGAAAAGTCAAATTGCGAGCAAGCCGGTGCAGCATGATTAGATTTATTGGATCCAGCCAAGCATCAACTTGTTTAGGGAGCAGCTAACTTTTCTTCTCTATCATTGGATGCAATGCTGAGGACTGTAAACTCTGTCTTGCCAGCTTTGATCTTGCACGCCAGCAAAGAGGAGTGCAAATCAGAGCAGACTTGGGACGAGTGCAGACTTCCTGATGTCTTGGTTTTACTACCTGCAGGTGGGCATGAGTGAGGACTGCTACCCCGACAGCCTGATCGGCTCCATCCCCAACATCTACTACTACGCCGCCAACAACCCCTCCGAGGCCACGATCGCCAAGCGCCGCTCGTACGCCAACACGATCAGCTACCTCACCCCCCCCGCCGAGAACGCCGGCCTCTACAAGGGCCTCAAGCAGCTCTCCGAGCTCATCGCCTCGTACCAGTCCCTCAAGGACACCGGTCGCGGTCAGCAGATTGTTGCAACGATCATCTCCACTGCGAAGCAGTGCAATCTCGACAAGGACGTCGAGCTTCCGGAGGAGGACGCCGAGCTGGAGAGCGAGGAGCGGGACACGGTCGTCGGGCGGGTGTACCAGAAGCTGATGGAGATCGAGAGCCGGCTGTTGCCGTGCGGGCTGCACGTGATCGGGGAGCCCCCGAGCGCGCAGGAGGCGGTCGCGACGCTGGTGAACATTGCGGGGCTGGACCGGCCCGAGGAGGAGATCTTTGGGATGCCGGGGATCTTGGCGGAGGCCGTCGGGCGGGACATTGAGGATGTGTACAGGAGCAGGTGAGAGGTCCAATGGAGAGGGCTTTTTCTGTTGGGGGCAGCCTGATATTTGAGACGGGTTACAGGATTGACTGAATGGCACCATTCAGTGGCTGAAAACTTTGAGCTTGGCAAAGTCTGCGCGGCTTGGGAAGTTCTGTGAGGAAGTTGTCTGAAGGTGAAGTGGACATGCTGGGAATCACGAAGCACATGATTCCGATGTGCGAGACTTAGCTATTCCAGCAAAGATGCATCAGGAACGGTACAAACTCTCAAATCTCGTTGGTTCTTTATCTTTGCACCAACGATCTACAATGTTGACAGTTCACCCCACAAGGTCGGTCTCAGTATTGTGCTTCACTATCATCAAGCGTTCTGCTGAACATTTCTTCCGCCTTTCTCCCCTTTGCAGCGACAAGGGCGACCTGGCGGACGTGAAGCACATCACCCTGGCCTTTTGTAACGGTGTCACATTGTTCGCAAACATTTTCTCTGACATGAAGCCCAACTCAATCACAAACCATTCCCCCCTTTGCAGCGACAAGGGCAATTTGGCGGACGTGCAGCTGTTGCAGGACATCACGCTTGCGTCCCGTAACGCGGTCGGCGCTTTCGTCGACACGACGGTCAACAGCAAGGGCCAGGTGGTCAATGTGGTGGATCAGTTGGGCGCGATCTTTGGGCGCAAGAAGGAGCCGTGGGTCGAGGCGCTCGCCAAGACCGAGTTCAAGAACGCCAACAAGGAGAAGATGAAGACGCTGTTCGACTTCCTGGCTTTCTGCCTCAAGCAGGTACGGGGTGGAGCTGTCTCTTGAAAATCCGTTGGCACATGGTCTGTTCTTGCAGACTCCTGCCAGTCAAGTGTTTGGTAGCTTTTATGGCGATAGTGTAACCACATCTGTCTCCCTGCGTTTGTTGCGGTTTCCCTTCACTGATTGCCTCGAGTCGCTCCTAGCACCTGAAGACTCGCATGGGCAAAAAGACGTTTTGCTTCCTCGCTAAACCTCCAGACCCGCGCTCAAACCTCAAACCTGGTTCCGCCTCTGCACCCCTGGACCATTCTGCTCGCAATTCCGTAACATCTTTGAATCAAACCTCACCAAAGAGCGCCCCATGCAAATGCCTTCTTCAAATGGAGTATCCGAGCACCCAGAACTTCGCGGAAAACTGCAAAGCGTCCGGTGCTTCGCCCTTTGAAATGTCTCACAAGCTCTTCCCCCCCTTGCCAGGTCGTTGCCGACAACGAGCTCGGCGGGCTGAAGCAGGCGCTCGAAGGGCGGTACGTGCAGCCCGGCCCGGGAGGCGACCCGATCCGGAACCCGAAGGTGCTCCCGACCGGAAAGAACATCCACGCGCTAGACCCGTCTTCGATCCCCACTCAGGCCGCCCTGCAGAGCGCCAAGGTGGTGGTGGAGCGGCTGCTGCTGCGGCAAAAGGCGGAGAACGACGGCAAGTGGCCCGAGACCGTCGCGCTCGTGCTGTGGGGGACGGACAACATCAAGACGTATGGGGAGTCGCTCGCGCAGGTGAGGAAGCTCTGTGAGCAACCTGGTGGGAGGAGCAAGGCGTGTGAGGAGGAAAGCTTATCTCAAGGGGTGAAAAACTCGAAAGAACTACTCTCAAAAGAACCACCTTCAAATTGCAAGCGAAGTTGGCAGGTCGTCAACAAAGTTCCCGAGTCACAGAGGTCGTTGCATACGATAAGAGACGCCCTCTTGATCCTGCTTGGCAGCATTCCTGGTCTGTGCTGTGACCGAGCTAGCCTAATCAATGCGTTCTTTTCTCTCCAGTCCTGCTAGAGTGGGAACAAGCAGAAGAACCGACTTGACGAGTTCAAGAAGCATTCTAGTCAAACGTTCCGTTTCGACTACAAATACTCCGGTCAAACGTTCCCTAGCTGACGCCGAACTGTTGTCGTACAGGTGTTGTGGATGGTGGGTGTAAAGCCCGTGCCCGACGCGCTGGGCCGTGTGAACAAGGTGGAGCCGGTGTCCCTGGAGGAGCTCGGCCGGCCCCGCGTTGACGTCGTGGTCAACTGCTCGGGAGTGTTCCGGGACCTGTTCATCAACCAGGTGAGAGATAGGAAACTCGAAAGAAAGTATGAAGAAGCACTGCGAGTGGGTGTTTTAACAACGATTGGCCCCTTCAGGACGGACGGGTGCTTGTTTGCAGTCTGTGGTGTTCTGCTGATTGCACCGTTGGTTTTGTTGGCCTCTTTCATGGAAGTCGTCGTTGTCAGCCTTTCGGCAAAGGCGTTTTTAACTTGGATCTGCTGAACTTTTCCACTCGGTCAGCCCCAATCGACTCCTTCGAGGTACTTTCTGTTTTTTTGTCTTTTAGGTTCCGGAGTAGAGTTTTAGGCTTGTCCTGAAGTGCTCCTTTCAGGTTTACCCCACCCAGGTTGTCGTTGCTTGATCCCCCTCTACTCCAAACGTTTTCTCAATTCTTTTCCCGTTTCTCTCGGGGGAATGGCTGGCTGTACCTCGAAGCGGTGATTCGCGGCCTGAAAGTGTACTAGTTTTATCAAATCTCTGACAACCAACACGACTTCCACTTTCTTTGTCCAGATGAACCCGCTGGAGCGCAACCCCCGCACTCATGCAAATCCCACTTTCTTTCTGTTCAATTCAACTAGAAAATTGAGAATTGACATCATTCCCGTCTCCAGATGAACTTGCTGGACCGCGCGGTGAAGATGGTTGCGGAGCTGGACGAGCCCCTGGAGATGAACTTCGTGCGCAAGCACGCGCTGGAGCAGGCGGAGGAGCTCAACTGCACCCTGCGCGAGGCTGCGACGCGCGTCTTCTCCAACGCGTCCGGCTCCTACTCGTCGAATGTCAACCTAGCGGTGGAGAACAGCTCGTGGAACGACGAGAAGCAGCTGCAGGTGAGGGGGTGATGGGGCCTGGTTTAAATGAAGTTGGATCTGCAGTGGAACGGGGTATAGAGTGGGATCTGGTCGACTTGGGAGTCCTTGCTTCCTAATGACGTGAGCAGTCTACCATGATAAAAGCAAAGGTGGTGCCTTGAAGGATTTTGAACTGGACCTTGATCTGGGCACACAACGGGTTTCGTGAGTCCTTCAAGTTGCTTCCCTCGAGAAGACAAAACTCAAATTGAACCTCTGGCGCATCTTTGTCTTTGCGTCCTGTCTGCCTTGCAAGCACGCAACGGCTTTTCTGACTTGCTGCAAGTAAGCTGGAAAGGGTCAACGCTCTTCTCGGCCCGTGACAACCATAAAAACAAGGCCCTCAACCCTCTCCTTCGGACCTAACACACTTCCGGACCGCTACTCTCCTCCACCGGTTTTCACACGCATCTTCTTCCCTCCCCAGGACATGTACCTGAGCCGCAAGTCGTTTGCGTTCAACTCCGACGCCCCCGGGAGCGGCATGATGGAGAGCCGCGCCATCTTCGAGAAGTCGCTCGCGACCGCTGACGCCACGTTCCAGAACCTGGACAGCTCCGAGATCAGCCTGACTGACGTCAGCCACTACTTCGACTCGGACCCGACCAAGCTGGTGCAGGGCCTGCGCAAGGACGGCAAGAAGCCCAACTCTTACATCGCAGACACCACCACCGCCAACGCACAGGTGAGAACCGGGTTAAGGGCTTTTGACTTGTGTTTGGATCAGTCAAAGGGTTTCTTTGTCGAGTTCTGGGAAAGGGCAGGGCCTGCGAAAGGACGGGAAGAAGCCCAACTCGTACATCGCAGACACGACCACCGCCAACGCACAGGTGAGAAAAGGGTTTCTTTGTGGTTCTCTTTTTGGACGTCAGCTGTGGGTTTTGCAAGAACTTGGTTTTGGGCCATTCTACCCCGTTGAAGGCTGGTCAGCGTACTTTTGTCGAAGGTTGGTTAGGGGGTCTGAACGTGTCTGACGAAACGAAGGAGGTTTGAGGCTTTCCGGTCAAAGAGGTTGGTTGTAAGCGTTCTGTCAAAGGTTGGTAAGAGAGCAGGGTTTCTTTGGCTTGTTCAAGTCCTCCTGGTCCCTTGGACTCGAAAAGTCGTTCGAGTGCCAACCTGGCCCCTTCCAATTGTCACCTAGCAAATCGAGAATGGTAATCACTCTCGTTTGCAATGCCTTTCCGTCAAGCTTGTGATTCTGGCTAGTTCTGTACCCTAAGCCCGCTCTCTCGTCCCGTCCAGGTCCGGTCCCTGTCCGAGACGGTCCGGCTGGACGCGCGCACCAAGATGCTGAACCCCAAGTGGTACGAGGGCATGCTGTCCAGCGGATACGAGGGCGTCAGGGAAATCGAGAAGCGGCTGACCAACACGATGGGATGGAGTGCCACCAGGTGAGCAGAAGAGGGGGATTCTGTGCTGCTTTCTCGTAGCAAAGTGGAGTGTCCACCGCCGGCCTAGCTTCTTTGGGGCTTGTGTATCATGGCCGTTACCCCTGTCTTACGTTGCCCGGAACCTGTCTTACCTTCTTGCGATTTGCCAGCTTCCGCTTCGGAACGCCAAATTTGGCACCGGCGCAGTTGCCCTCTTTTGAAGCAGCTTGAGCCGTGCGCACATGGTTCTCTCGTTCTCGTTCTCAAGGGAGCACAACAGAAAAGTAGGGAGTTGGCCGAAAGAGAAGCACACCTTCTGAATATGCTGACAGGTTGAGACTTGCTATTTGCAGCGGCACCGTCGACAACTGGGTGTACGAGGAGGCCAACGACACGTTCATCAACGACCCCGAAATGCAGAAGCGGCTGCTAGAAACGAACCCGAACAGCTTTAGAAAGCTGGTGTCGACCTTCCTAGAGGCCAACGGGCGAGGCTACTGGGACACTAGCGAGGAGAACCTCGACAAGTTGCGGCAGTTGTACGCCGATGTTGAGGATAGGATCGAGGGTGTTGACAAGTAGTGTTGCGTAGACAGCAGCTCATTTGTTCGCGTTGCCTGGGGATGTCAACGGGGGAGGGGAATAAGAAAGCAAGTTTCGTAAAAAGACGATCAGCCATAGGTAGGAACGTTGTCAATTGGAGACAGTGGGTTGCATTCAGGTGGATGCCGCCATTTTTGACCAGATCTGGAAGGAATCAATCAGTTTCTTGTCAGCGTTGGGTGCGTCCTCTCACCCGTGAATGGGATTTTGGTGTACACCGATGTTGATGTTCCTATGCCCACTTTAAGTTTCAAGAAAGGAGCAATCTCGCCACATGCCAGAATTGTGTAGCTGTGAATCTGCATTTATTGGTCATGCATTTATGTCACCGACTCTAAGTTGACTATATGTGGAAGCAGCCGCATGCACGCATGAAATTTTTCCAGACTTTATCATCCGACTTGAAAGGCTTCAATTTAAGTGATAAGATCCCGAAGTAACTTGTGGACCAAACTACCCCAAGGAAATTCTCAGTAGAGCTCGATCTGTATAAACCATGAATACGTATACCTTGCATGCTGGGGGATCTCCAGTGAGCTACATAAGTATAGGCTCAACCGTCTGAGCTGCCATGTGTGTGGTCCTTCAATACCGATCAATATTATTTGCAGAAGCTCGCACCCGGGCCGGGCATGGCCTTGCGGAAGGGGCATGGGCATCTAAAGCACGCGACCCTTGAAGTCACCATGTGTAGCAAGCTATAATCGAGAAGAGTTCTGCCAGCCTTTGGGACGTTATGAAGCTACTACGTAGCATGTTCGCATCAGTGCATTTCCCTTAACGAAGTCCTCGAATGATCCCCTTTCAACATCAGTGCAACTATATGACCCGAATTCCTGGATCGCGTATTCTCTTATCTCAGGGTACATGAAGAGCAGCAGACTTCACATCATTGCATGATCTGAAAGCACCTCGAGTCACGAGGAACATGGGATCTGGAAGGCTTGACCTTTGTATGCTTTTATCCGTGCCTATTAGTAAGTCTTGAATTTATGGTCTGTGAATCATTAATCGTCGGAGTGCTGACAGTCGGCGGCACAGCTGCGCATGATGTGTGCACTTGTCCTCGCCCTACGGTAGACGTCATGAGAATCAGTGCGAGTGATTGTGTGGCATTGTGTTGAGCTGTAACAATGCCTAGAACGGAATTCAGAAGAATCAAACCCGTCGAAGGCACCTACTAAACTTGCTACTTGCTGGTTGAATTTGGCTTGGATTGAGAATTCATCTTTTCAACTCCACGCATGGCGATCATTGAACTCAGCAAGTAGTTTGTTTTTTCTAAGGCCAGTAATACTATATTGACTCGAGTCCTGATTGTACATTCGGTCGGATTTGAATGGATGCAATCAGAACTCCAGAAAGAAGACTTGACTCGCTTGCGGGTTCCTAAGACCATCTCGATCTTACTGTACATTAAAATGAGCGTTGACATGACTGTTTGAGTACGCGCCTCCACAAGCTTTGTTGTAGTCGCCAATAAAGTCAATCCTTTGCATGATACGAACCCGATTGAACCACGAACTTGACATCCAAAGCTCTCAACCACCCATTGCGGTCGTCAATTTTACCTCATGCAGCGGCATATGGTTCTGATCAAAAGAACAAACCCATATTCTTCTGACTACCGCGGTCGTCGAAGTACCCTCTGCACAAAACAACGAGCTCAGTTTATGATTTTGTCCAGCACATGCAGAACAGTAAATGCTTCGCAGAAAAGAAGGGCTCAGAATGTCACACAAGCTTGCACAGAAACGGAGCAAGCCTTCGACTAGGCAGGCAAGTACACAATTCAATCTCATGGCCGACGAGAAAGTAGGGGCACTCTGACCAAGACGAGCAACAACTGCAAAGAACGAAGGCGAGGCTGCAAAGTGGTCATTTTCAAAGAAGGCCGAAACTTAAAAGCGGGTGCCAAGATCCTAGGAGTTAAGGGCATCGAAGTCTAAAAGGAACAAGCCGAGATACCACTAACGTAACCTCACTGGGACGGGTAGGGTTAGAATGGTCGTCAGGGTGGGTCGGGGCGCGGAGCAGGTATCTTTTTGGGTTAGGGTTTTAGTGTTAGTCTGGGCTTAGTATTATTCTGGCTTGTTAAGACACTTCTCGTGTCTCATTTCGAGGGCGCGTACCTGTTGAGGCGCAGGCCCCGTCCCCGCGGCCCCAGGCCTTTGCGAGGCTTGAGATTGTGGCTCAACGTCGCGCTCCCCGAGCCGATAGAACTTCGCCAGTGCTTGCGTGAAGAAGGGCCGGATCATGTTCACCTCCATTGCTGACAGGTTGTTGAGCTGCGAGGAAATCGAAAGAGAACTGACTCTCAAGTGTGAAGTTGCAGGCCGCCAATCTGGCGGTTGCCTTGTCCATAAAGTCCTCCAGAGTGCGCTCGTTGAACAAGGAAGCTTGCTGTCGACCCGAACGAATGTTGCGGCAACTTATCGGACTTCAGTCAGGACATTCAATGTTGTGTTAAAGCGGAGAAGCCGCAGCCAACGTCGCAAGGAGGCCACGACCCGGTGAACGAGAGAAGCGGACATAAAAAGCTTTCAGCTGTCAAGTAACCTGGAGTGAGCGAACCAGGAAGAGGAGGTGGAAGCCAGAGCAAGTGCCGACATGAACAGGGCAACTTTAAGTGACAAGCATAGGCCCAATCAAGAACGACACGGCCGCAAAACCTGGCAGACAGAAACAGTCTCTGGTCGATCAGAAAGAGATAATTCGCGAAAAACAGAGGGGATGAAGGAAGAGGGTAAAAGAAGGAAGATCTACGACGAGTGAGACGGAGTTGTAAGGACCTCCGCCCAAATTCTATGTCGATGTTAAGCAAATGGTCATTCTCAGCCGCAACTGTGGCAATCAAAGTCTTGAATAGGAACTAGAAGGGGCCCCTAAAGGAGTTGTACCCTAGTGCTTAGGTGAGGGATCGATGTGCATGGACACACCTTGGCAGCACTTTGGCGATTGTCAACCGTTTTGAGACCATCCTGGATCTTGCCGTATCTCACTTCTCGAAGATCTTCCACCAAGGCTCGTACCTGGTAGAAACATTCAAAGTAAAATAATCGAGAAGAATGACGAGACACTACAAGCAATTGGAGGCAAACACAGGACGGTCCAGAAGCTTGCCGACTTCTGCCATAATACAATTTATTGCTTCAACTGTTATTGGAAGGCCCCAATCCGTACCTTATAGGAATTCGGGATGTCGTTCAATGCACTGCAGAAAAGGGATGAATAATCGTTTCAGTTAATATGGAACAGTCAAAGAGCAGTTTGCACATTCCATGCTCCGACAGTATTTCAAGCAATTTTGGCACCAAATGAAGGAGTATAACAAGTTGCTGGATTCGGGCAAGCAGATTTCGTTTCGATTGAAAGGTTATCACTCACCAGTCAAACAGAATCTCGGAAATTTCAATGTAGTGGTAGTGCACGGGCTGGAACTCAGCAGCGTACTCTTGCTCCCTTCCAATTACGCTGGTCAGCTCGTCTGAAGATATACGAAAACAGAGTTCACAAATGTATTGCACAAGGGCAGAGTTCTTCATAACTCAAGGTAGTACCGTGAGGGAAGGGTGAAAAGAACTCTGGAGAGGGAGTGAAAAAGACCATGAAACGACATAAGCTTTTGTTGACAAATCAGAAGGATCCTAATGGCTGATTAGGGAAAATTGAAGGTTTACTACCCGTCTGATGATCTATCGCTGGCCCAGCCAGGGGGGCCTGCAATGAACCATATTGTAACACGATGTCTGAGAAGCAAGGGTGACAGGAGGCACGAGGATGAGACATGTGCCCTTAGGTTGAGGAACTGACCCACACTCATCCACTCTGGCAATTGAATGGAACATTTGCCCCTCTTTTTCAGAAGCACGGCCAGCCAGATTGGTACAGTTGTTGGAATCTGCGGTCGGAACGGCCCAAACTCGCCCTGCGAAATATGAAAAACTTTTTGAATTCAATCAGACCCCTCCAACGTTCATAAAGGAGTCCAGAGCTTCTAAGAAACTCAAATGTGCATTCACTAGAAGCTTTTGACAACTTAACATTCAGTTGTGGGCCCCTCGTGTAACATGCTAGGCATGGACCACGTAAGCGACGTCTTCTGAGAATTGAATTCAATCAGACCCCTCCAACGTTCATAAAGGAGTTCAACGCTTTCAGAAAACTCAAAACGTGGACCAATAAAAAGGCTTATAAACACTGACATTAAATTGTGGGGCTCGTGTAACATGCTAGGAATGGACCACATAAGCAATGTCTTCTGTGATTTTCTTCCACTTGTAGTCAGCCAGTGCAGAAAGACTTACCTTTATCATATACAAAGCGTCCAATCTAAAATTTGGGATTATGTCAATCAACTCGTCCTCAGCCTGAAACTCAACCTGCATTCAGAAAGACATGGTGATTGTAGCAGACGTGTACGCTACCTAGGCTTTTGAAGAAACTGCAGTTGCGGGAGCAAGGAGTCACATAATGATAGCGTCCATACTTTCTCTGGGGGGGCAACCTCAATGAAGGATCCAGTAAAATCTGATATTTGTAGCATTTACAACAGCCACAGAGTTGTGTCACTACTTTTTCGTCAAATGATTGACACAGTCACAATATTTGCAAAGTGTCATAGCAACGCCATGATGATGGCAGCTTGGCGGTCATTCTTCCAAAAGGTGAATGTGATCGTCACTCTTTCAGAAGATGGATATGAAGATGGTAGGTCATGCGCAAATGAGTTGACAATCATGACTTTTTCTCAATCAGAATGTTGAGAGCAAGTGCCCACTTTTTGCCATGGAAAGCATGGAAGGTGGATGCAAACCAAACCTAGTCTGACCTCAGAGGGTAAGAAATGCCCTGACTTCGCGGAGAATTGGGTCACCATTTTGGGGGTCACTGCACGCGGCATCTGAAAGTCACTACTTATTACTCACTTGCAGGCCAAAAGAAGGAGCTGTAAGCACTTTCTTTATATAGATCAGCGCCACTGCTTCCCTTCCATAACACCAGATCGCACTCTTTCTTATCGATTCAGGAACTCTTCTAATATCTTTTCAAGATTTCATGAAAGTATTGCAGTCGGTGGGGATAGCGGTGATGCGATGATGTGACGTTTCCTCCATATCCTCACAACCCTCCTGTCAGCATGTGCGTCATGTTTGATCCAAAGTGGCACATTTCTAAGAACCCCATCTATGGGCGCCTATTCGATTGCAGTCTCCGAAAGTCAATCTACTTACGAACCCGGCAAGTCGCTCATTTGCACACAATTGCACTCCGGCTTCAGTCGGGCCCCTCACCGCTTCACATTAGACAAAGATACATGCAATGTTGCATTGGATACCGAGTCCTGACTCACTAACCTGAAGCCTGCTTCTGATACGGTTGTCCACCTCTTGCAACGTCGTTTCTTCCTCGACTTCAATAACTCCTCGGAAGGAGCAACCTACCAGCTACACAGAGAAGTTTCCCACCTCTGCAGGTGCCAATAACCATCCTGAGGCTGCAACCTGCTCCGGGCTGTCGAGCTGTCTACGCACACATGCACCTGTCTACGCAAACATGCACCTGCGTCTGTCAGGAAGCACCATCGCCGCTTCTGCGATGCAGAATGAAGTCTGCGCATGGCAAATGGGGGACCTCCAATCTGCCTCCAAATTCCAATGCCCTAGGCCCGGGGCCGTAGCGTTGTTCATGACCGAGACCAGCGCTCTTTTGCCATGCTGTCCAGAGCTCCTCCCACCTACCTAATCACACTAGATATCAAAAGTACGGTATCATCGCGAAAATACTATAAACTCAATACGAGGGGCCTGCAGGAGCTGTTCTTATCGTATGAAAGCTAGAAAAGAGCAATATATGGATTTCTGTGAATGCTTTTGGCTTTTCTTTTTTGGCCATGCAACTTCAGTCTCGGTATGTTTTGACCTCCAAATGCGTCACATAATAAACAAGCATTATATGTGGAGATGATTGGTCGATAGGTCGACTTTCCACACCCCTCAAGAGCCCTTAATATTATGTGTAATAGTGGGTTATGGCGGGCTTGCCGCTGCTTTTCATTGTCAAGTTCAAGGCGTTCTCCGCTTCAGTGAGAAGACGTTTTCCTGACGCCCGGCCCGCATTGGGCAGTACTCGCCTTGCCAATGGCAACAGCAGATGTCACGACAGAACGTTCCTGTAGGGGGGATTTGAAGTTTTGGCTGCTAGCGAGAATTCTTCACAAGGCACTTGAGTAGTTGCTTGCAAGAAAGAAGTGAAGTGGGGGAAGAACAGGGGAAGAACACGAAGTGTCCTATTAGTTTGTGCATTTACTGCGCTAGAAACAATAGCAACCACCAGCCTTCGACAGCCGGGCTGATCCACGAAGTCAGCATGTCAGTGGCGGTTTCTCTGGTCAGCGCCCAGGCCGGGGGAAGGGCGTTGAGTTATCGGTGTATTCCGGCAGGACCTGGGAGTAACATGCGAGGAATTTCAGGTACCTCGTCAACTTTCGGATGCAATCACAAAAGTTGGATTGGCCTGCAACCTGGGGGCTATGAGGTCCAGGATATCAAAATTTTCTGTAAACCAATGGTGGCAGCGCATCCATCCAGACTCACCAGAACAGGGTTTGCTGTTCTGCCGTTTGTGTTCGCTGCGTTGTGCAGATGGTTGACCAGACAAAACAGCAGCCATGGATAATGTTGAGTTGCTTCTTTGTCCAGGGGACTTTCTCAAGCAGGGACATTCTTGTTGTTGCTTGTTGACAGCTTTGCAAGCCTGCAAGCAGGTCTGCTTTGCAAAATCTGCAGGCTCAGTCTCCTTAGAAAAGTTGGTTTTGGGTACAGTTTCATTGACGTGAAATCTCTCTGATGCTCCTGGACCTTTCGTGTTGTCCAGGTCAAGCGCTTTTCGCCGCCCCATCCGCGCATCGCCTCCAACAACGGGCAGAGCATCGACGATTTGAGCTTTGTGCGGGATATGGCGGTGTGGTGAGGGCGGAGGAGCAGGGGGAGCGGCCCAGTCAGCACAACGTGCGTTTGTTTTCTTACCACTAAGCAAAGTTATATGTGGTTTTCTTTTTGTACCACTCCGCTGAATTTCTCAGTGTTTTGGGAAATCCATAGCCTTGTCTTTGTCTTACTTCAGCGGTGTACATGTATCTCAGGTTTGCATTTCATATTTCCATGGAGCACTTTCTCAAGCACCAGCCAGCTTGAATCTCCGAGCCGGTACGTACGGCTGTATGAGAGTGATTGCTGGAGTCTGGGTTTACAACGGGGGTGCTCGTGAGCAACATGGTCAAGGCAGGGAGTGCTGCAAAAAGCCTTCAGATTAGAGCCAAGGATGGCCCATTGAGCTGGAGACAGGGCAGGTGCATGCACCATGAGAAGTCAGCACTCCGCAATGGGCTAGAGTATGGTCATAGTGCACCTGTTCCGCGAATTTGTGGTGTCTGCACCTACTGTATAGACACTCCCAAACCCGCACAGAAGCAAAATTAGAAATGGTCAATCAAGGAGGTAGTCACCACAATCCACCCGGTAGATTTGTCTGTTGTCGACCAGGTTCCTCGCCCCACCTGGAGCACGTTGGCCTGGGAACGTCCCTCTGCTTGTCTTCCTCTGGTTGCCTGTCCCTTCAGAAGTAGTTGTCACGGATTCTAATGAAACTTTCTTTGAAGTTGTGTTTTGAGGCCATCTTGGTACTTTTTGTTGAATGATGCCACTTCTCGTTTATCGCCAGCCCTGCAGATGCTGGACTGCCTGGAACTCAAAACTACGAAAGAGGTCGTACAACAACATTCAATGGTGTGTATTCTTGGGTGGCCACCTTCACTCCTGACCCTGTACTTAAGAAGCGTTAAAATCTGGCTCAGCTCTTCAGGTGCATAAGCACTGCTGCTGGTCATTGCTGACCATTCGTCGACACCGTACTCGGAGCGGGGGTCGGTGCCAGGGGTTTTGACTGGTTTTCTTAAGCAGAAACGAGGGCGGCTCGGTTTGTGCTCAAGCTCAGGCATGTCATCCAGTCAAATTATGAGTTGGTATAATGACTGAACAACGACATTTAAATTGAGTGTGGCAAGAAAGTTTGGCTAAAGCTTTTTCTGAAAAGACTCAACTCATTTGCAGGTGGTTACTGTCCATGTCAACGACGACGACCTGACCTTCACATCCGACGCACCCGCGCATGCCATCCTGGCGCACCTGGAGGTCATCGCCGGACCGGGCATCCTTGTGCGAGCCGGCGACTTTTACTCTCCACTCAAAGACGAAAAGGTGCCAGCTGGAGACTATGCGTTCAGAACAGGTGAAGGACTGCGGTCTTTTGGTCCCAAGCTGCCATTTGCGACTTGTGCGTACTAATCAAGACCCATGGATCTACGATTTCTTTTAACTCATGACGCTTACTACTGAGGTATTGCTTTTTTAATGTCGTCTGCTTACAAGTTGGCAGTGGGATCTGTTGGATATCGAAGGGGCCTCGACGAGCTCTGATGCTGAGTTGGAAAGGTGGAAGACCACTTTGAAATGGTGCAACCACGGATTTATATCCTTGTGGTGTGTCCTAGTGGCTGTGAGACCGACAAGGACATGTTCTTAATCGAGTTGACTTCTCCACACTCCAGCAGTCGAAGTTCTCATCATTGTTGTGGAACACTGCCCTATCAGTGCCCATATTCGTCTCTCAAGATGTATTCAGAGTCAATGGGCCAATAGTCAGTGCGCTTATGTGTCCAATAATCTCTCATCATATTGGTCTGTGGCAGCATGTAATGTAATCGTACCTCCAAATTGGTCATTTTCACGGAGTCTCACGATCAGCTTGAACTGGGATTCCTTTTCCATGGTCCGCTTTTTCCAGTCTTGATCGGGTAGCTCCAATTAGGTCTTCTACGTCAATTCTATCGCATTTTTGACTTTTAAACCGCCTCTTCGCAGCCTCTACGCCTTTTATTGATTGTCTTCTTGGTGCTGATATTCAGGTGAGTCGAAGGCCGTTGTCGGCACAAGGGAGCAGGCCGCAGTCTCGCAGGAACTGCAGGCGATGAGAGCAGAGATTGCCAAGATGGTAAGTGGCCAGAATTCATTCCTACTGCTCGGCTTGGACTACTTTTTTCGCAAAGCTTTTACTTAGTATGTTTCTTGGTGATAACGTATGAACCTTCAGTATGGAGAAGCTTGAGAGACGCGTTTGCTTAATGGAGATGTCAAAAGGGGTTTCAAGGTTTGGCAATTCAAATGATGTTTACCTTCTTCTGGCAGCGATTAAGACGCAAGTACTTCCTGTAAACAGGCATCCGAGGCCCCTTCGTTGGGGGAGTTGTGGAAGAACTGGGTGGTGGTAGGCGGCTATTTTCCGGCCACATGGGGACCCCCGGCTTTGAGGGTAGTAGGCACGATTTTAGAAAAAGATCTAGATTTCTTGGATTCCGTTCTTGGCGCCGCGAAGGATTCTTTGGGTCCCTTCGTGGTGGTTAGATAGACTGCGAAGAAATCTTGCGGAGGGCTCGGTTGAAGGATGGAGCTGGCGATTGAAGCAAGAGGAGGACGAAGGTGGAGTCCGGGAGGTAGAGGAAGCATGTTTTCTGTCCGCGTTACAGTATTTACATTGCGATTGAGAAATGGCACCATGTTGTCTTGAGTCCCATATTTGGATGTAAGATGGATTAGAGCGCTTAGTTTCAAACAAGTAATCCAAGCATGTCGATTCTCTATTTGCGTTGCAAGACAATGGGAAGGTTCTGACGAGTGCGGCACCGCGCATGTTACGAGACGGCTTCACACCATGTAACCAATCACCAACTCTACTCGAAGTGTGTGGCGACTATTGCATTGCACCGCTCTGAAGTATGGACGGTCTGCAGAAAATTGATCGATTTTCGCATCGTGGCACTCACTGGTGCTACATATCGATCTACATGCACCCATTTGTTTGCAATGAGTTCGACGAGGCAAACGCATGCCAACTCATCAATAGATCAACAAAACCTTGAAGCCTGTAAGTTCCACCTCATCTGGTATAAATTGGTCGGATTCAAATGATGGAAGCCTGACCAAGCAGATACGTTTATATACTCCCGCCCTAAATCACCAAATTTTACATTGATCTCTTTTCGCTTAGATTTGAAAGAGAACTGCGTTCATGGCGTTTCCACCTTGCATTTACCCTCTCACTTGTTGCATGAACTACCCAAGTTCAAACAAGCGGTGAACCGATGGTCACTTCTTTTTATACACGCTTTAAAGCCTCACATGGGCCCATATGATAGCGCAGAAACAAGCGCCGCCGGAGTTTGGGCTTCATCAAATATGTTACTGTTCTAGTTACCGAGCAGTCACTAACGCGACAAAGCAACATGACTATCATGCCAATGCTACATGTCACCAAAATGTTTATTGGCACTGGCTTAGCTGCAAGTGACCAAGTGCTTAGCTGCAAGTGACCAAGTTACTATATCGGCGACCTAACGAAAGCCTATTTATTATTCAACTCAGTTGCCCTTCTTCTTCGAGCAGTTATTGCCAGCCTTCGGCAAGTTCCGGAGCAGCAGCTGGATGATCTCGCCTGCATTACCGGAGCAGGCACCGCCGACCGGACGCCAATGCCTGCGCCGCAGCTGCACGCCCCGCATCCAGCGCCGCATGCCGCCTGTGGCGGCAGTGCCAGTGGCTGCCCGAATAGCCCGGGCCGCAGAAGATCCGTGAACCTCCCGTCCCGGTTGTGTTCGCCCCCGCAAATACGGTTCCCGCCGCCCCCCAATTGCGCCGAACTGAATCTCTCCACAACGAGTCCAAGATGCGCTAGCTTCTCCTCATAGTTTCCCAAAAAGCGCTCCCCGGTGCAGTGATCGGGGAAGCATATGGCCCACGTTTTGAGCGGCAGGCCAACTCGCGACCCGGGCATGTCCAGTGCTGCGTGAGCACTTCAAGGACGGCAATGCTCGATCAGTCCCCCTGCGGGGGCAGGTGGGTACTGAGCCGAATCTACATTTTCCAGACGGATTCACAAAAGTCATATCGGAAGCGTCCGATGAATTTTCACGTCCTCAGAACCGCTGATCATGTGATTCGTTTCGAAGAAGAAGCCGGGGCTCTGATAAATTTGAACAGACTAATGATGAGTAGACTGCAGTCCCAACCTTGATTGGGATCATGACAAAGCTGAATGTTGCGACTTTGAGCTGGTGCCATGGCTGCGGCAGCTATAGAATCTCAAGCTGTGGCACCACCACAACTCGAGCGCACAGCTACCTCTTCTTGTCAGAAGCATGTTCCTTTCTCACCTATAAGCTAATGCAAGGCACATGCTGCACATGGCATGTTCTTTCAGGGGACTGCACCGAGCCGCCAGCCCGCAAGTCTGCGCAAGAAGGGTTTGAAGGTTTGAGCCCGCCAGGGAAAATTGCACCGACGAGGCGGGCGGAGCCCGCCAGCCTCGTTCCGTCGGGCGGGCGCAGCCCGCCAGGCGGGTTCCGCCCGGAGGGCGGAACTAGCTAGGCGGTTCCAGTCTAGCGGGCGCAGCCCGCCAGGGCGCTGTTCCGCCCGAAGGGCGGATGCCAGCCAAGCGGTTCCGCTCTGGCGGGCGCAGCCCGCCAGGCTGGTTCCGCCCGGAGGGCGGAAGCCAGCAGCCAGGCGTTCCTCCACAAAAATCCGCAATATTCTCATATGTCTCAAAAACTCAACCGAGAAGAGTTGAGAATGTCATGAAGTTCTGCCGCCCCTCGTTAGAAACCTCCGATCTACAGCCCGAATCAGTACCCAAACCGCGGATTGTGAATTTTTAAGTCGATGTTTTCGCAAAATGGGAAGAAACGACCCATATTAGCTCAAAGCGTCAATTGTTTTAAGGGAGACTGGAGCTTTGAACTTCCACTCTCGTCTTGACTGTTGCAAGCACATCTCTGTCCAGGCTCTGAGACTGTAGGCCAGATCCATCTTTGGAGATGGCTACCATACAAAGCTGGCAAAGGGTTGAACGCTTCAGAGACTGCGTGCTGCACTAGGAAAGGTTTGAGAAAGGTTGCTGAACCGATGTTGTTGTGGCAGCCTGGACTGGTCAGCTGGTCAGCAAGTAGACTAGCTAGGTTCTGCAGTGCTGGTAATCGTATGTCCTGGAGCGGGCTGCTCTGTGTCCATTGTACATGTTGGAGCAACGGAGCAAGGCATCATGGGTAAGGCATACATTTGAAGATGTTTCCAATGCGGGGGTGGATCTCAAAAGATTGTACTTCCAGAAGCTTCTTTTAGATTGGGCGCCTGAGTTTGTGCTGTCACTTTCTTTGTACGTTGTTATGTTCAGTGTTGAGCGATGCTTGACTTTAGAGCCAACTCTGCATGCTTCTAGCATTCAATGGTGGGCGCAGCTTCAACAGAGCAACAGTGCAAGGTTGCCATCTGCAAACTCATGTTGTCGATGCACAAGTTAGACATTGGGTGGAAAGCTTCATAGCCAGATTTTATATATATTTTTGAATGCTTTATGCACTAAATGAGGAGCACTGCAGGAATTGATCTGCTTGTCAAGCCTTTTGAATTGTTTTTGAAACTTCCTGATGGTTGAACGCAGCTTCTGCCCTGGAGCAAACTGAACTGTGTTCAAGTACTCTAACCGAAAGCAGCTAGGTTCTTCTGCTGTTCAAGCTGCGCCTTGGCTGCGATTTGCACCCAAGAGCTCAACTGCACTGTGAACTAGACATTCTTTGGAACTCATAGTGAAAAGCCCTTATAAAGCTAGCGGCCTGCCAGTGATTGTCGTTCACATCAGATTGATCGGTGAAGATGCTCAACCTATCTAGTGAAATCTGCAGATGATAACTCAAACAACGTCAACCGAGAGCCATGCGTAATGCCTGGGTGCAAGCAAGAGGCGCCACCTGTGCATGGTTGCAAACAGGAGGAGTGCGGCGGGGCTGTCCACAACCTTTGCTGTCAACTCTGGATGGGGCGTGCCTATGTTGAGGGTCAGATCCTGAGCGATAGGCACGCAGGCCCCCAGTCAAGCTTCCACAGGGGGGCTCGCACTCGGTCTGGAGAGCGAAAGCGAGGAGAACGAGGAGGGGGGGCGGGGGGTGCCCCGGCAAGGAGCAAGTGAGGAGTTGGGTTTGGCGAACGACGGGATCGATCCTTCCGGTGGATCAGACGGTGCTGGTGCACATCAGATCTCTGCTGGAAATGAGAGAGGCTTCGTAGGTCTGGATGATCCCCTTGCAATGGAAGAACGGCGCCAGCTTCGTGAGCAGAGAAGCATGGAGCGCGCTGAGCGGAAAAGGAAAAAGAGTCGGAGTCAGTCTGCTTCTGACTCCGAGGAGTCCCTGGAGAAAGGGGACCCAAAAGAGAAGGTGTAGATAGGGGCAGAGAAACGGAGTGGGAATAAGGATGGCAGTAGGGTGGGAAAGACCAGAGGACAGGCGGAGCAAAAGAAGCCACAGGCGCAGGCGGCGATCGCGTCGCTTCCCAAGTTCGTCTTCGAGTGGAGACAGCGACTCCGAGTTGGAAAGAAAGGAGCGCAAACGGGCCCGCAGAAAGAGAAAACACCAGAAGTAGATAAGCTCCGAAAGCTCTGGGGACGAGTACAGCGCGGAGTCAGAGAGCGACTCCTTGTCGGAGGAGGAAAGGCATCGCGCACGAAAAAAGGAGAGGCGGCACCGCGACAGGGGATCAGAGGGAGAGGGGCGAGGCCGCAGCGGACGGCGGAAGGAGAGGCAACGTGGGGCGTCATCAAAAGGTGGTGCGAGTGGGCTGGGAGGGGACACGCACGTCACGCGACGCCCATGTAAGTACCAAGATCAGTCTTTGTTCAGTATTTCTGAGATCTGTGGTCAGCAAAGTGGAGCTGCTATTGTGCTTGGGGTGTTCATTTCTGTATGCTTTCCGGATTTGCATCCAATACCTGCGTAATCAGCTCTGGCTGCATTGTTTTGGTTAGACCCGTAGAGGGCACTCAAGGTTATTATAGCACAAGAAACCTTGAAGGAAGTACGCGCATTTGCTTACCTTCTGCTTGACCATGACCGGAAAACGGAATCCAAGCAGGTTGCCAGTGATTACATTGCTTCACAGGATCGGAAGTTGATCAATTGTTTGCACTTACATTTGTGTACCTGCGTTTTGCAGCACCCCAGATCCCCGCACCTGTCCGGGAGGGCGCAGTTGCATCCCGTGGTGCGGAAACAGGCTCCAGCAGTCAGCTGCCCCAAACAGCCGCACAACCAGCAGAGCCCCCAAAGGAGCGTCATCTGGACAGGGTATTGTGGCAGCGGGCGCTGCGGGACTTCCATGGGGGGGCTGCAGGAAAATACAAGGAGGCCTTGGGGCAGCCCCACTACAGCAACGTGAGAAACATGTTGCTGCGAGAGAGCCGGAAGGGGTGCAGAAACCGAAGTATGGGCCCCGTCGCTGTCTCTACAACTCTTGACAAGAGGACACTGATCTGGGGGCCGGAGAGTGGGGACGCTGTGGAGCACCGAACGAACTTGGATCTGGCGCGGCAAGGGAGGCGCGTGGTAGTGGCTGCCTGCTTCCCTTGGATCGAGTCCCCCAAGCACTGCTGCCAGGTTCCTCCAAATTGCTGAATCTCTCAAGGTTGAGAATCGGTCAGGAGCAGTGGAGGAGGGGGCAAAACATCCGGACTTTGAGAGCTAGTCCCCCGATTGGAACGGTCTCAACCCGTGAGACTTCGAGTGCTACGGTCAAGTCGATCCCAAGAAAGCCAGTGTCTGGTTCGAGTGCGTGTTCTTTGGAAAGAGCAGGTCAAGGGCGAGGAGGGTTACAAGTATGCCGGTCAGGGCCTCAAGGAGCTGGGAAAGCATGCTGGGACGAACCAGCATCAAGAGGCGGCAGCTTGGCTAGAAGCTGGTAAAAAGCCTGCGGTGCGCTTTCCACTGGTCCGCTCAAAGCCAAGCACGGGGGGTAGGAAACCCCCGACCACAGACGAGCAGAGACCAAAGAAGCTGCACGATGCGGGGGAGGAGCTTGGTCAGCTGAAGCTTTCGTTCCTGGTCAAGAAGAGTTCTAGGGATGCGGCGCTTCAACAGGCGCCAGGACGTGCGGACACGCCAGCTTAGGGTGCCAGAGCGGGGCGTGTCAGCTGGCGACAGGGGGAACAGGCACGTCGGCGTCGGCAGGGGGGCCAGGTGCAACAGCTGGGGGGGTGTCAGGCACGCCGGCGGCGGGGGAGACTGGCGTGCCTGCATCAAGATGGCCAGGCGCGCCGGCGGCAGGGCCTGCACTTCAGATGGCGGGCGTTCCCAGGGGGCCAAGCATGGCTTCCGAGGACCCCCCCGGTGCTAAATGACAATCAAC